AAAGAGGTTTACCATAAATACACTGTGTACAATCAACTCAGGGGAGAGGCATCACTCCATACAGCACTGAGGGCAAGTTTGTTCAAACTAACTGGATTGTGCTAAGGAGATGGAGACAGGTAAACACATTTCACTCCCTCTGTTCTTCTACCCTAAACCCATTCTGAACCTTCTACCACTTCCTGACGTCTCTCTCTTTTCCTCCGATCCAGATCTTATTCTCCCCATTCCATCCATCCTTCCCTCTTCCTCTCCACTTCCTCTTCCTTGTAATATTTCCCTCCTATTCTTCCACCTGCGCCCCTTATCTACCACAGCACTTCCTCCCAGAAAACAAACCTACCCAAAACTCTCGGGATCAAAACTCTCGGGATCAAATTCCTTCCATGCACTGCCCACCTTTCTGCTACCAGTTCCCCTCCTTTGTACTATACCTCCTATGCTGGTTCCTCCCCTGACCTCTCTCCAGATAACAAGCTCCACCCCCTGTTGGTTCCCAGTAAAACTGGGTGAGCGAAACCTCATTGTATGGTTGAGGGGTCAGGAAGGGTTTCCAGGAGCAGGGGGTTATGTGAGTGGGACTCTGTCCAATGGTTCCAAACCACCTCTCCTCCTCACCGCTAGAGGTCCGCTCCAGTCCAAAACACAGTGCCCCCTTCTGAGCTGCACAAAAACACAGAAAGCAGCCTCTTCCCAGGTCCCACCGAGGAACTATGTTATTCAGACATAACTATTAGCTTTATCAGCAATATTATCTGCTGTGCAGATGGTGATATTCACCTAGGTGGTTGTGTGGCTAAAAATACCAGCCCCTAATTTTGATCAGAGATGGGAACTGACTGACTGAAATAAGCAGAAGATGGATTTGTAAGTGTGAAAGTAGATATGCTGCATAATCCCCTGCATTACAATGCAGTACAACTCCAATCTGTACAGCTGTAGCCCAGTGTGCTTGATAGAGCTAAATAATGCATAAAATGCTTAGCTAAAACACTAAGGGCCACTGAGGTCACTGGGAGTCTTTCCAGTTACTTCAATGGGCTTTGGATCAGCTCTTAATAATAAAGAAAGAGAGAAATGAAAAGGCACAGACAAGACAAGCAGAGCTGGTTCAAGCTTCAAATTCCCATTCCAGGAGAAATTTTGGAATTTGTTTTCATTCTGATTCAGAACAAAAATATTTTTTGAAATTTCTCCTGGAATTGCATTTACAAAAAATAAATAAATTGGAATTTCAAAATGTTGTTTTGAATTTTATTTTTGAGTGTTAATATTCTTTTTATTATTTTATGACACATCAGCAGCAGTAGTACATAACATGTATTATTTCTTTTAAAAACTATTAAGGGACGCTGCTGCTACACTTGGATCTGGAAACAGATAAGATGTTTCAATCCGTACTAAGTAGCAACTGTCTCTAATTTTTTTAAAATAAATAAAATAGCATATTTCAGCTGTTATATTATGTTATATATGTATGCTGCTGACATGTCTTAATAATATATTATTAAGACATGTCAGCAGTACATGTTATGTACTACTACTGACATGGCATGAAATAATGTAAAATAACACAAATAATAAAAATAAAACTAAATAAAATTCAAAATGAAATTTCAAAATTTTCCAAAACAAAATTTCTGACAAAATTCTTTAAAATTCCATCCCCCCAGAGTCAAAATCTACCATTTTCCAGAACATTTCAATTTAAATGAAAATAACATTTTTTGTCAGGAAAAAAAATGGAGAACAGTTTACAAATCAGAACTGAAAATAGATGGCGAGCTGATTCTAGTTCCATAATAATAATGACAATGAGATGTACATACCATTCTGTTAGTATAAACAGTAGCTTTGATTTCCCCTCACCATTTGATCCCCCTGAAGAAGAATCTTACAGCCAATTCACTTTTGCTCCCTATCCACCTCTCTATAGCTGCAGTCTCATCTCCTTGCTCTGCCTCTCCAGTCAGTTCTTTCCCTAACCAGTATTGATGCCTGCTCATAGCTAATGCTCACCTTCCTGCTTATATCTGGCCCAATGGTGGGAAGAAAGAGACAACATCTGAGAGGCAGATCACGAGAAGGGGGATTAAAGAATGATTCTAGCATGGAGGAGGTGAGCTTATGTACAGGGGATCGGAGAGCTTCTAATAGATTAAAACCCCAATGGCCACAATGCAATTACTGTGCATCACCTCTGCGATGAGGGTTATCTATAAATGACTGACAGACAGTACAACTTCAAAATGCAATAATGAAACTGGCGACACCCAGAAAGAGCCAGAGTTGTGCCAGCTTTACAGATCATATGGCTTGTGTTGGAGGACATCTAGAGACAATGATCGGTTAGGTCTTTTACATTTTGACTGTGATCCCATATGATAGAACAGAACAAATACATGCCACTTGATTTAGAGCGAGAGAGAGATTTTAGTGTAGACAAACTGTGTCCTGAGACCAGTGAACAAATATAAGCAAACATTGGTACTGCAGAAGGAACCACCTGTAGTGCAGACCATGGCAAAGATTTGTGAGCAATAAATCAATAACTGGGACAGCCTGACATAATCGGATTGCGTTCTGCAATGTTCCTAAGCGATTTGCAGAGTTTTGACCTACCCACATGCAGTGCTTTCAATGCCCAGTGTGTGTAAGCAATACAGTCATCTTCCCCAGCTTGTTTAACAGAAACATTACCTTGTTCACACCATCTGCCATGGCTTGCAAAGTTAGTTCTCTAGGTCCATCCACAGTCTTTCCGTTATCAGTTGGCCCCCAGCTGGCACTATATATATCTATGACTTGAGGCATGTGACTGATCGAAGAAGCCTCAATAATGTCTGTCATAAAAGGCTGGTCCAGCATTCGGATACCTGTTGACGTAATCAACATAAACATGAATTATGAATGGCCAAAGACAGGATATAGGCTCAGGGTCTGATTTACACCTGCAGTTTCAGGCATTACATCTCACTGGTTATCTTAGTTCCACAATAATTTTGTATTCAAAGTTCAGATTCCAGTCTGTACAACAGAGCTAAAGCATACAGCTATAGCAATGAAGTGGTGGCACAGAAAGGAGCGAGTGGTTTATTACTGATTCTACTATTGAACTTTGCAATTATACAGCACCTTTCATCCAAGTGTTTCCAAACACATTAAGAAACAATTAAGCTTCATACACTCTGTAAGGAAAGAGTAATTACACATGTTTTACAGATGGGGAAGTTGAGATGAAAATTGTGCAATCTGGCCAAGATCACACAGAAAGTAGAAAATTCAAGGACTAGAGCACAAAACTCTTACACAGTACTCTACCCTAATCACTCAATCCCATTCACTCACATGTTATATACTTCATTCATCTCCCAACAGGTTTTCTCTTGCCTTTCTCCACAATATGGGCTAGTGTTTATAATCAGAAAGGAGAGGGAAAGCTACAAATGTCTTATATGGAAATAATGACATCTGGACCTTTGTATACATGTACAGTAGGAAACATGGCTATTGTTCTGAAAAAGTTTTTTGCATAACTTCCAGTATAGGCTGATTTAATTTGTCTCTGAATTCCAGCTCCAACCAAGCCAAACAGTATGACGATTTGAGCAACACAAGCCTTTTTTGGGACAACACTAAATCATGATTCATTATCAACCCAAACACAGGCCAGGCTGAGGGTTAGAGACCTTTCATTGAGTCTTGCCGGAGACTAGAGTAACCTGGAATGGTTTAAAGTAAACTCATTCCATGTATGGCTTTGGATGGGAACTCATTAGTTTTCAATGTTTTAAACTAGGAATGGACTGGAACAACAACAACAAAAAACATACAGCTGGGTGGGAAACAGATTTCCTGTCCCTCAAAATATTCTGAACAGGGCAGTAAAGTTGCAATCTTGAAAACCTGGAAAAAATTGGTTGAGGTAAATCAAAACTTTTTATTTCCATAATGTGAAATGTTTCATTTTGATTTTGACCAATTTTTGTTTTAAAAAAATATAATTAGGTTATTTTTTTAACAAATAGTTGTTTTGAATTGGAAAACTGGAATTTTTCATGTTTTAAATGCTGATGTGAACATTTTGACAATTTTAAAACTTATTTTTTCAAAAATGTTTCAAGTTGAACAATTTTGTTTTCAACAAATCGGGCATTCTCTGAAACTCGGGGCATGAGATCCCGCATACACTCAAAGAAACAAAGACTGGTGTGAATGTCTGTGAACTGAAACTGCTGAATTTCACAGACGATGACAAGAGAGTGCCCAGACAGAGCTAAAATGTGAGCCAAGTCATCAGATTTGACTTCAATGCAAAAAAAGTGGGATCAAAGAGAACAAAGTTAGGGGCCAGATCCTCAGCTGGCTATGACGTCCTATGCCACTTTACACCTGTTGAGGATGGGACCCAGAGACATGTCATAAACATGTCAGCTTCCTCCAGAGATTTGATGGATTTACTGATTTCCACTTGGTGGAGCTATAGGTCTCAGTAATAAACCAGAGCTTTTCTCAGTTTAGAAACATGGGATGTTGTTTGCCTTAAAATAAACGTACCTCAATATGGAATTTTGTTAGGAAATTGACAAGTATGGTAGCTTGTTACAGCTTCTGTAGGACATTAGTACAGCCCAAGGGCTTTACTATGTAGCTTATAAATAACTGACTTGAAGTTATAGAGTTGCATTAATAGTAGAGATAGCCCTGAACCAAAACCCCAGAACCGAATGCATGCAAATTTGGGTGTCCAATATCAGAATATAAATACTGTGTTTCGTGCCCTTCTCTGATCAATGTGTGTAATTACTGAACAATGGTGACAATGGTCCTTTCTCAATGCAATGCTACATATTAATTTGAACTTCATGTCTCACTGATTGCAGCAACTAAAACAATAACACCACTCCTCCCCTTCAGATTTTGAAGGGAAGGGCTAGCCCTGCAGTGGAGAGAGGCTAGAACAACCTGCAGTTATGAAGACCTGTGCACTTCAATAAGTAACTGGCTGAAAGGAAGCAGGAAGTAACAGATATCTCATGACAAACCCTGTTCTTACAAGATTTTCAACTCAATTTATACAGGTCCAAGAAGTCTGGCTGCTATTGTGTATTTTCCCATGCACATGCACACACCCACATCCACACCCTCGCCACCCCCACCCTTTTTTGGGGTGCAGATCTAAATCAGACTCATCATCCAAACCCTTTAAAGTTCATTCATTGCAAGTAAAGAGTCAGAAGTTGAAATAGCACTTTGTACATGCTAGTTGATTTTTGGTTTTTGAGGGTAGGTTTCCTGAACAAATAATACCATTTCAATTAATTTTGTTACTCATGATTTGTAGTGATAATTTGCTTGGCATAGGAACACAGGAACTGCCAGACTGGGTTCAGGCCAGTGGTCCATTTAGGGCCACAGGGGGTAGCACCCTCTACAGAGTGTGATTTCTAAAGCACACTAATGTGTTGTGCATTAATTGTTCTGTGTAGACTCTGCTGGTGTGCACTAAAGATTCCCTAGAGCTCTTTAATATGGTCCTGTTTCAAATAGCACGACATGAAAGTGAACCAGCAGGGTCTACACAGACCAATTAATGCATAATACGTTCGTGCACTTTAGAAATCACACCCCCATAGAGTGCATTACCCCACCATGTCGACAAGCACCAAGTCCTGTATCTTGTCACCAAGAGTGACTGATAAACATTGCTTCACAAATCCTTGCAAAAAATCCAACATTAGACAACTTGCCCACAGAAAGTTCCTTTTTAAATCTCACTACTCAGAAGTGATTAATTCCTGAAACACGAGTGTTTATATCCTTTCTGTAACTCCTGGCTTTTTATTTGTTGGAAGGGTTTTTTGTTCATTTGTTTGTTTGCTTTTATTTTTTACTGCTATAAGCCTAGTCATTGCTTATTTAGTAAAGCTCAAAGCAGGCCTGTGGTCTAGGTATAACTTTGGTCTACGATGGTCTAGGTTTATTTAATCCTGCCTCAGTGCTGGGGGGATGAACGACATGTCCTCTTGACGGTCCTTCCAGCCCTAAAATTCGATGATTTCTATGAATTTCCTTGGGTTTTCATAGTCAGGACAGAGTTCTGTACCATTTTGAGTGGCAGATAAAAAATGATACTCCTTGTGAGAGTGCCACTTTGAGCCAATTATAAAATGATAGAACTGTCTTAGCTTAATTGTTTAGTAGAAATTGCTTTGCCATTCCATCGCGGAGATTTTGCTTCTGGGCATGTGCCCGATTTGGGAAGCTTATTGTTTTATGGATCTGGATGTGGTGATCATTCAGATAAAACAACAAAAAGGGAGGCCAGCTAAACCGTCAGAAAAAAAATCACTGTGCATGCACTCTAGGAGCCAAACTGTCAGCTGGGGTCAACAACCATCAACATTAATGGCGCTACATTGATTTACACCAGCTGAGTATCTGGCCCCATCAAACCTAGAGATAAGTTCAGTGTAATGGAGTGGATTTTGTTTTTTCGGAGATGCATAACTGATAGGAAAAAACAATCTGAGGCAGCTCATCTCTGCATCATATTAAGTACAACTACAAGTATATTTCTTCTGCTGCACATTTAGATTTGTTTCAGATGAGACCTACAACAGTTCACAAAAGGAGAAATAAGTTAGCTCATATTGAAATCAGTATGGAAACAGGACTTGAAATGAGAATGAGCAGAAGGAATGCCATTCCCCTCGTTAAATAATTAGGTATATTAACAATATAGGAGAGTGCAAAAAGAGAAGGGGAGATGCCCCTTGTTAAATGTTTAGCACTTAAAACTTCTGTGACAGAAGTACAAAGTCTGGACCAAATCCTGCCGTCCTTACCGGGGCAAAGCTCCCGTGATCTACAGTGGGTGCCTTACCCAAGGAAAATCTGAGTGAGGAGAACAGGATTGGGGTTTCTCACTGTATTGGTGTCATACCTGCCACCTTTGAGTTGTATGCCACGCCAACTCCACAGATGTTGTTGTTTGCTGCAGCCGACACTTCCCCTGCACACCTGGTTCCATGACTGCAAAGATGAATAAAGAGAGACCATGTAAATCACTGCTCCTGATTAACATTATTACCCAGTTTGCACACACACAGTATTACACACCATTAGGAGCATGCTGGATCCGGCCATTGGTTAATCAAGACTGGTATCTTTCCTCTTGTCCCAGTTAACACCAGATGCTCCAGAAGAAAGCAAAACTCCATTGCTGCACTTAGCAAACTGCACACTGCTGTTTGTGGAGTAACCAGTTTACCCTCTAAAGCCTGAGCGATGTGTTATTCTAATATTAGCATGCATAATTATGCTCTATTTAGTTGTAAAGTTATTCAGCCCTTTTTAGAATCCAGTTTTTCAAGCAGGCTCTATCTTGTTGGACAGTAGAAATAGCATTGGAAAGAGTGGTCTAATACTACTACTAATACTTAGCACTTCAACAGCGTATAGTAATAATACTTAGCACATTTATTATTTATTTTGCATGTTATGGTAGCACCTAAAGGCCCCCCACGGATCAGGGCCCCATTGTGCTAGGCGCTGTACAAACACCCAGCAAACTGACTGCCCCTGGCCTGAAGAGCTCACAATCTAAAGAGGCAGCAGATGGATGCAACACACAGAAGGGGGAGCACAGGGAAATAATGTGACAATGCGGGTCAGCATGTCAAGCAGCAGTCACGACACACCAGCTGCAAAAGCATTGCCAAGTGTGCTGTGTGTGTCTCATCCTCCTTTAGTAGCTAGTCCACAGAGAAGATACCAGCCCACTACTGCTGTTAGCTAATAAAGTGATTTCTTTAAACTCATGTAGGACAAGACTGTGCTTTGGCACTGAAGGCCCCAGGTTCAAAATCAGCCCATTGTGCTTCAATCATATTTTTCATCGTCAAAGTGTTTTACAATCCTTAACAAATGCTGAAAATATGTGCCACGTTAGGCTTGGAGGCCTAAGTGGGGAGGAAGGGAGGGTGTCTGGTTTTCCTCTCCAATAAAATAAATACATATTTTTTTACAGTTCACCATGTTTTAGCAGATGGGATATTTTCTACACCTAAATTATATTACCCTCTATGCATGTATATTGAGGTTATCTCTGTAGTATCCTGGTGGCTTGCAACATTCGTCGTTACCATATTACAAAGGCCACATACTCTAATATGCTCTATACCCTGCGGCAGCTGGATTATTTTCTTTTATTTCTTTTTTTAAATTCAGCCTCTATCTTCTTTCCCTCTCCCTCAAAGTGCAGGTTGAAAAGGCTGGTACAACAGAGGTGTGAGAAATCTTGGGACCATGTATTCTTTTTCCTGTAATATTTCCTAGCTTATGTTTTTAGAGACACATCTATTGTAGGAAAATGACTGGTTTCCAAATATCCCACCATCGTGAAAATCTTATGCTTGTTTCAGGAACCTTTTCTGAAGGCTCTTTGGGCAGGGAAAAGACTGAAATATGTTTCTTGTACATCTGCTGGATAAATTTCTTTCAATAACTCAGAAGGTTTTCCTTGACTGTCCTTGTTAAAAGAACTGTGAAAAAGCTACAGCGTGGTTGGGCATTCATTATCTAGTCACCTGTAGGATATAGGGTATGACACTGCTCCCGTCACACAGGGAAGCTGCGATGTTCAAAAACTTTCTAAAAATGCCAGGTCACACCCACCCCCAGATTTCTCCCCTGGTTATAGGAAGCTCTGCAGACTTCCCCCGCCCCTCCCCCCACCTACGCTTCCTGCACTCATCGCTGCTCAGCTGCAGGAGGAGGGATCACTGTACAGGGAGCTGCTCTACCATCCGTCCAACCCCTGTGCATCCAGACCCCCTCATACCAAGACCCTCCCAATGAGCCCCCTCCCCCTGCACCTGGACCACCCCGACGAGCCACCCGCACCTGGATTCCCAACCCTACTGAGCCCCACTACCCCAGCATCTGGACCCCCCCACTGAGACCCCAGATCCCCTTGCTGAGCTCTATCCCCCGCACACTCAGACCCCCCTGCTGAGCCCCAACCACCTTCATCTGGACCCCCTGCAGGGTTCCGTTACTGTTGCACCCAGAACCCCCCAACAAGCCCCTGTGCATCCAGATTCCCCCCGCACCCTTATCCCCCACTGAGCCGCCCGCCCCCCCACCCAATCCTCTCAACCCACACCTGGATTTCCCCCACACTAAGCCCCTCCACACTTGGATCCTGCCTTGCTGAGCCT